TTAATGACCACAATTCATAGAATAATAGAAAATTTTAGATTGGAAAAGACCTTTAAGATTTTCGAGTCCAATCRTTCAGATCAGAAATATGTAATGGGTGGTGGAATTCAGCCCCATATCTCAGTGTCACTGATAGCCCCTTGGCAGATAAGCCTAGAACTAAACTAGTGCAGCCACATCCAAGAACAGATATTTGCAACGATTTTTCCATAYTCCAGCTGCACTTCAATGGATACAGAGTACAGGCAGAATTCTCCCTGCACCGTGCCACTCTCTGTACCTACATGGAGCTTTGTATGCTAGGTGATATTTCTCTCTTTRAATGCTTCAAGATAAAGGGTTTGATTTGAAGAGGAGACATTTTTTGATAAATATTGGAGTAGCTTTTCTTATACTTCATAAGCTTTCATTACAAGCCTGCCCACTAGGGCTCAGCTTGGTTCTGTTCACTGCTAGGGCTCAGTGACTTATGTCTGACCCAGAGTTTCCACCTGCAATTAAAGTAACACATTTTTATATATGTGTCTTCATAATGCAGTGCTACAGTGGCTGAAAAAAGAGCTAAATGACATTGTGTGTGTGTCAACTGAAATTGATGCAACTCTGAGCTAGCCCAGACTTGGTTTTAACAAGAACACAGGCTCCCCCAGGCAAACAGATCTCTTGCATTAGCACATCTGGTCATCTGGATCTTTCTAAGTAAAGATAATAATTTATTTAAAAGATCTTTATCTATTGTTAATGACAAAGCTTGTGAAAATAGCTTGATTGGTAAGGACTGAGGCAGAAGGCTTCTGGGAATAGATGAAGGGTAAGCAGGAAGAAGGTGAAAAAGTAAAATGAGCAGTGAGAGTGTAGAGTTAAAAATAAGAAGTGTAAATCCAACAACKACTGAAAGCTTTATGTAACTACTAAAATATTTGACATACAAGCTTAGGATGGGAATTAAAGGTTTCCTTCCTTTTTCCAGCAACATCTAGTAGGAGGCTGATGACAGCTCAGAACTTCAGCAAGAGAGAGTATCAGATACTGCTAACAGAAATAATCTCCATTCCTGAAATCTTTAAACATTTGTTTAAAGATGGAAAGTACCTGCTTTATTTGCCTGACTATAATACAACCTTTTCACTTTCACAGTTGATATCTTCCGTAGTTACATAATGCTTTGAACAGCTTTTAGGTTTACACTCTGTATTTTWAACTTTACATTTTCACTCCTGAGCAAACATCTTACTCGAGAGATGAACTAAACCACAGCTCTGCAATGATGCCAACAAACATCAGCCCAGTGAAGCAGCTCGTCTCACAGAGCCATCATTCAGCCACATCCCCACAGACTCATGGTTAAACACCCATCCAAGCACAATTGTCTAGAACAATTCAAATCTAAACCCCTTTTTTGCCATACAAGCACTTTCTGTGCTCTGTTTGCCAGCTTCTGAACATGCTAACCCTACGCTGGACACACTGAGTGTCTGTGGGATGTATCTGAATGAAGCAGCGATGCCATGGGACAGTGGCTTTGGCACACAGTCCAGCTTTAGTGCTAGCTTCCAGATTTGATTTCTTGGCAATAAACCGTATTAGCTGCAAAGTGGAAATTATCTTGAGAATATGCAAGTCTTTCCTCTCCCACTTTGAGTGCTCTGGACCCTGGACTTTCAACACACCCCATTTTTCCCCCCCATAGAAATCTTAGAGCCTTCTTTGGTTCCTACATTTGACAATAGATGAAATTTTTGCAGGGCTCCAGTTTTTGAGGGCAAGAGAAGCATGCTCTGAGGCTGACCTGTGGTCCAGCCCAGCAAGGTCCGTGGAAAGTGCCCTGACTAGAGTGACTGGACACATGTAGGAATCACAGAGGGCTCTTTACAAACCTAAACCCAGCAAAGCACTCACTAAGTAGATTTAAACAGATCCAGCAGCAGCCACTCACTGGGATATGTGAATTTTTGTTACAGCTAAATCCTCCACTGCATACTACTCCACCTCTTCTTCATGTTGGTGTTTGAAATGAGCTCAGGATGGGAAGAGCCAGTTTCCAGAAGGARAAATCTCCTTCTCGGTGGTCAGGCTGCTTCAAGGTGTGGAACCACTTGGTCAGGGAACTRTATCTCCTACACCCTTCCTTACGGAGACCTGGATGAAGAAGTACTAAGGGTCTCCACCTTAACTGCAGCTCAGGGTATGGAGATATTAAATTCCAAGTCTATTATCTGAGAGCTTTTACATGCAGAAAGATAAAAACTTAAGTGTACTATTAAGCATTTTATTTTACTGATGTGTAAAAAAAAAAAAAATGCTTCTTCCTAAATTTAAGCTATAAATTAAAACTATTTTATCTGTACCTGACAGGCAATGCTGTTAATTGAATGACATTTTAAAAAAGGTTTTCAATTTGAATTTTGCTCAGTTCTGCAGGCTGGATATGATCTGAATTACAGTATTATGTTGTGTTCTGACACGAGTTGGTTGAAGACTTGCTTGTAAGTGTTAGCAATGAAAATTGGTTTACGACAGAAATGCAAACCTGATTCTGTTTACTTCATTACTCACAAATAAAGAGAGGATGAGTTTCRTTAGAACTCAACTATACATAAGTCTGCTAAAACCTTTTCAAAGTACACAAAGAGTTTAATTCTCTTTCCAAAATTACTAAAAGCTCCTACAGAAGAGCCCTCTTACGACTACCTGGAAAGAACATTACATCCATAGTGGAAAAGAACATAGCTTCTTAAAGAGGTAATTCATCTTGCCACCTGCTACCATGTCCCMCTGCTTCATAACTTATTTTTATTGACCAAGGACAATGCAGGGAAAGAAAAATGCAGTAGACATGTATTAAACATTTTAAAAGTCTAAGAAAATATTAAAAATCTTCCCATTAAGCAGTTATTGATAACTTCTCCTCTTAGAGGACAGCATGATGTAGGGAAYACCATTACTTTAGTTCAGAGATAATGCAGGAGGCAGCCATCTGATGCTATAAGACAGTCTCTAAGCAGATGCTGAAGAAATAGATGGGGCTGTTTTCTGGACAGTGAAATYGTACACTGAGCTTTCTTTTTCCTCTCTCTGGGGGAAGTGGTTGGCACACCCAAGGGAAGGTCTGGTGCCAGCTCTAAGGGGGCACTTTTGGACGCCTTCTCCAGTAACCCTGCCTTGGCTGCAGCAACATTACAAGAAGCATCTAGAAACGGGGCAGTGGAGGAGCCAGCAGCAAGGCTATCAGTATGTTTTATAGAGCTTTCAGGCTTCTCCTAGGATGAATCATGTCCAGGTATAGGTGCATCCAAGGTACTCCCATAAATCCAGTACCAGCTGTGAGCGGAGAGCTGTTTACAAAAAGTCAGAAGCTTCTTTTTTGATGATTAGGAGGAACATGTCTTAATGGATATGACAGTGGTTTTTTTGAAATAATGGAATTTCAGTTACATAGATGAAATAAAACTTTGGATTCTTCTTTTGTTGTGTATTTTCCCATCCCTTGGTTATCGTTCCAGTGAAGAGTAAATAGAATGGGCAAATTTTTGCCTAATGCAACTAGGGATAAATCTGAATAAGTGCTTTCAACTCCACACAAGTATAAAGAAACAAAAGGGGAGAAAAATGAATCAGTATTGCCTTAGTTTTGCCAGTATCAAAGTCTCTCAAGTTATACTGCTAGAATTAAACTAGTTGTGAAACAGTATATGCAAAGCATCCCTGAAAGGTTAGTATTGGAGCTACACTGGAAACCCCTTTAAATGTTTTGTTAAYTACAAGAAYCTTAATACATACTATAATAGAWATATAAAAATTCTTCTTTTCCCCTYAAAGATAATATTAAAATAAGTAAATATCTGAAATCAGATAATGAAGATTTGAATATATGTAACTCAGGATGCCTTAAAGTGCTCTGACTCGCTTTTTCTCAGGTTCTAAGAGAATCAATTATTCAAAAAATGTACGCATCTTCTCCCCTGGAAGACATGAAGCAAAAAAAAAATCTTTGAAAATAAAGAACCCCCGCGGGAAAACAAGTTCACAGAAGTGTTGAGCCCTCTGCCTAGAGCAGGACAGGTTGCTCTGTCCTCTRACTTCTGGAGAAGGTCCCGTCAGTGTCCTGCCCTGAATCCCCTGATGCACAAAGAGCGTGTCAGCCTSCCGTGGGACCTCAGAGCTGGCCACCGGCACGCACAAAAGCTTCTCCACACTTACTATTTAAAACACATTACTTATATTCCAGTTACTGACAAATAGCTTCTGTAGTAACACGAGTTGCACATTTAATATGCTGTGATTTTTTTTTCTATCTTAACAACTTGTAAATCTGCCTCCTCCTCCTCCTCCGTCAATAAACTCTCCCTCCCCGGGATACAAAGCGATGCCCAGAACAAATGCGTGGCTAGTACACTGAAAGACTCATGCACTGACACCTCTGTGTTCTTGGGGAGGCATTTGCTTCTTCGGAAACGAAGTCACTGAAAACCGGGGATGAATGGTGCGCCAGCCTTGTGATRAAGGCGGCCCTGAACGCGTGCATCTCCCTCCGGAACAAACACGTTGCTGGGGTGAGTAGGTGAACGAGAAGAGGATTGTAATTTCACTTATTCCAAACCAGCAGTTACAGACAGTTTAACCCCAGACAGCCGTGTCGAAGGAGACACCGTTCCCCGCCTGTCTCAGGAGCGGCAGGTTTTGCGTGCCCGTCCCAGCGCGGCACCCGGGCTGGGCCCGCAGCGGCTTTTAGGGTGCCCGAGTTCCGGACTCTGTCGTCCCCGAGGGCTCCCCGCCGCCGGCGGCAGCGCCTCCCCCGTGCCCCTCTGGTACGGGAGATTCGCCCGGGAGCGGGGCCCTGAGGGCCGGGGGGCAGCTCCCGCCCCTCGGCTGCCCCGGCCCGGCCCCGCTCCCCGCGGCTCCCCAGGGGCTCCCGCGCCCTCAGCCCCGGGCCCGCGGAGGCGCCTGCGCGCTGTGGCCGCTCGGTGCTGGCGCCGCCCGCAGCTCCCGCGGCTCCTCTGCCTATTTTAGTCACAGCCGCGGCTCCGTGCCCGCCGGCGGCGAGCGGCAGCCCGAGTCCGTCCCGTCCGGGCGGCCGGGAAACTTTCCCGCGGCGCCGGGCAGGTAAGGGGCGCGGGCAGGGCGGGGGCCGAGCCGAACCGAGCCGGGGCGGGCTGAAGCCCCGGCGCTGCCTCCGCCCGCCCCCCGCCGGCGCTGTCCAGCCAGGCAGCGCTCGGAGCGCCGCCCGCTCTGCCCGGGGCCGGGGGCGAGACGAGCCGGGGATATCTGTGGCACCGCCGCGCTCCGGGACACCCGCGCCGGGGCAGGGGAGGCGGCGGGGAGCGGCCGTCCAGGGAGGGCTGCCCGCCCCGAGGACTCGGCGGCGTCCTGAGCGGGGTGACGGGGGGTCACTGCCCCGGGAGGGGAGCGCTCCTCCCCTGCGCGCCCAGCCCGGGTAACCGGAGCTCCCGACTCAGCCCTGCMTGGAAGTTGGAGAGCTCTGCCGTGTCCCCTTCATAGAGCAGCGCGACACGCTGCCCAGCCCTTCCCCTTTYCCCTCGCCAGGGCTCTGTCTGAGCTGGGACTCTTCGTTGTGTGTTTCGGGTTGGGGTTTATCCCTTACGGCATCGGGGTTTCTGCCTGGTGCAGCTGCTGCCGCTTACTGACGGAAGAGCTGGCTCCGGGAGTATCGCTACTGTCACAAAATCACCTCGGGATCCGGGAATTTCTTCCCTCAGGCTGGGGGTTTGCCTCGTAGGCTGGCGTTATTTGATTCTTCCCTCTCTGCATCAACAAATGGTAAGAGTAGATGAAYCCAGAAATTGCATTTGCAGTTGCTCTTTTCCCAAGATAGAACAAGCGACACAAAGCACTTCTTTTCCCAAACTGTATAATTTTTTTGCTAARCACGTCCTTCCAAACTCTATTATTTTATCACATTTTCTTCATCTGTTCTGTAAATCTTGGTGTGCATTTAGGCTGTCAATCACTATAYGGGCAAACATTTTATATAGCAGATCTCTTGTAATGTTGCACCACGGACCGCCTGATAGTGCTACACAGATGTAATTGATGGATACCTGAGTCCCAGAACTGGGGCTTCTTGCTGCTTTGCTCCTTAATGGGAATATGGTTGTATACATACATGTTTAAATGTCTTCATTGACCACAGCAAAAYGAGAGATAGTTTCCACTTCTGCAGAACTGGTGCTGGTCAGGCTTTCCACAAAGTTCTGTGTGGTGCCAAATAATAAAGTAGCTTAATATGTCAAGTTTTAAAGAAATGCCTTGTCTGCAAATCGTAAGTGCACTGCAAGTCCTCTTGTGAGGAGCATAGATATTGAAAGAGAAGAAATTGCAAACTGTGGTTTAGTTGTGGTTCCTGACACAAACTTTGCCTTCACAGTTATCTGTGAAGGCAAAGTTTGTGTCAGGTGAAGCTTTTACGATGAAAGCTGAGAACAGGAAGTTTATTAGAGATTCAAGAAAAGGCTTGTTAGCTAAAGCTACGTTCGATTTTTTTATTAAGTGTGTGGGTTCTTCAGAGAGGAGATTTTATTTTATCATGTTAGTGTGTTCCCCTACTCTGCAAAAAAAAAGAGCTCTGGTCAGTGTCTGCAGATGATGATAGAGAGCCTGTGTTTATGTGTTGGACACA